TTTCGATCCTGATTGGCAGATTGCTGAGTATTTTTTTAAATTTTTAGAAGTTTTTTACAATGCTACTAAATTACTTTCTGGAGTTTATTATCCTACTGCACATTTAGCTTTATATCAACTATTTAATATTTCAAAAACATTTTCTTATTATAGGGCTACACAACTTTTTGGAAATATAGTTAACTTAATGGAAAATAAATTTAAAAGTTATTGGTCAGGTTGTCCTATGTTATATGCATTGGCAACCATTTTAGATCCTAGGTGCGGAGTAGATGGAACTGAATCATTGATGACTGCTACCGCAGAGAATTTAAAAATAGATATGCAACTAAGTATTACTGACGCTAAGAAAATGTTAGAAAAAGTTTTTAGTTTGTATGAAGCAAAATATAGCACGGGTCAAAAAGAACAGGGAACTTCGTCGTCAACTACCAATTCGGGGCCTAAAGGATCGTCGTGAAGTTTCTTGAAGAAGAAAGAGAAAACGGCAGGATCCAGGATCGTCCTCAACACAAGCGTCTATGGAACTAGTCAAATATTTTGAAGCAAATTTTGTAATCGATGACGACAAACTAGACATCTTACAGTGGTAGAAGAGCAAAACAGATCGTTTTCCAACACTGTCCATAATAGCTCGTGACATTCTGACAACTCCAGTGTCAACGGTAGCATCGGAGCAAGCTTTTAGCGCAAGCAACCGAATTCTTGACGAGAAGAGAAGCAGAATGCATCCAGATATCTTGGAGGGACTAATGTGCGTTAAAGACTGGGAAGATGCCAGAAGACGAAAACAACAAACACAGATGATTCGATGCAAGAATATTTTTCTAATTTAGAAATAACAAAATCTTCTGGAAGCACTTAGGTTTGTAATTTACTATTCCTAGCTACTGCACTCTTTTTTCCTTCGCTAAGGTTTTGTCCCGATCTCCCCACGAGTTTTACTTAGCAAGGTTTTTAACGATGCAGTCATTTATGTGTACTCCTATTACGTTAATTCAATAAAATCACATCTTTTGGGGCATTTGATATTTTTTTTAATTAAATTAAAAAAAAAAACAAGGGTCGGGGCCGGCCCGTGCCGGGCCTGGGCCCAGGCCCAGCCCTGACCCTTATGGACTAGGGCCAGGGCCTGGACCGGGCCTGAGTTTTTCTTCTCAGGCCCGGCCCAGACACGGCCCTGCACTGTGCAGGGCCGTGCTTGGCACGGCCCAGACCCGTGATGGGCCTTGGGTCAAGCGTGCCGTGCCGGCCTGGCACGGCACGTTTGACAACACTATTATATTATACCAAATTAGAGATTACAACCTATATATACACAACATAGTTTACTAATCTACGACCATTTATTAGGAAACTAACTAATCAGATAAATCCATCCTGCACGGTAGGATTTTCAAGAATAATTAGAAATCAACTTGGCTAATTTATAAAGTCAGCTTTCTAACATTCCCTTCAAGCGGGCGTGAAGATATCATGCATCTCAAGCTTGCCTACAAGTTGATAGAAAGTTGACCCAGGAAGACCTTTGCAGGAAGACCTTTGCCTACAATATGCTTAAGTTCTGTCATGTTGAACATGATTACGAGCAAATACTAATGGTTGTCTTGTTGTCGCAATACATCGTTGGTAACTCATGAACAGATATTTTCAAATTTGTTATACAAGAAAACGGATTCATAAGTACCTTCTCCAAGAGTTTTCACACGATTCCATACCGAACCTTAAGTCATGACTGCAAAAATCACCTCAGTCCAAAAACTAAAACGTCATGACTATATATATATATATATATATATATATAATTAATAAACGGATATCTTTGCACTCAATTATTGTACCATCTAAGCGCCCGAAAAAAAAATTGTGGTGCTTTTCTATGACCGACGAGAGATAAAATGATATCATAGATAATTAATATATTTCAACTAAGTTGACACTCACTAGACAGCTCATCCTATACCAAACTCTCAACTCTAATATTATTGAGAATTGAGAAAATAAATACAAGACGAAGTATCCAGCCCTTAGGCAAAGAAACAAACAGAAACGACAAAACACTGTAGTTTCAAATGAAACTAGAAGGGCTGTACATTAAGTCAAGTTATGCTATCCCTATATCAAGACCCTACAGTTTGAGCCTCGTTAAAACCTTTCAAGTAAAACCCTGTGAGAAACCAATAAAGGAAAAAGAGTACTCAAACTCAGTGAGACTATATGAAAGTTTGGGATTTCGTTCATTTTAATGATTCAAGCTTCTAAATTTTTATAATTAAAAGTACTAAAAAATATCACATTTAATTTTTTTATTACAGTTAAAAACTCTTAAAGAATATCACATTTTAACTTAAATTGAAAGCACGAAATAAACGAGGCATGGATAACTACACCACCATTTGACTGCCCGCAAATGCACTGCTTTAGAAGACATACGTCTACAACTTGATTTCCTTCCATTAAATAAATGTGCAAGACGGTGAAGTTCAATTGATCCAAACGGCTATCTGTTGCAAGAAAGAAACTAATATCAATATATCAAACACGTAAAATATATAAGCCAAACAACATGTTTAATTTAAATCAATAGAAAAGAAAAAAAGAGAATCATATTTTGTATTACACAATTAAATCAGGTCGTGAGGCATACCTATTCTGAGACAACCAACTGATTCAGTAGTAGTTCTAATACTTGACATAGGGATGACCCAACAACTGTTGAGCCGACTACCTTTTGGTCGGATCCCTTTGCAAACACTTGCTCAAGAAATCCTTGCCGGTCTCCGTGGTATCCGAGGAATCAAATTCGAAGATATCACGGTAATAAGCCTTGCCGGATCTATAGCGTCGTCGCCCAAAGCGTAGTCCCCAGTAATCATCGTCAACACAGCACATCCCAAAGCCCAAAGATCCATTGCAGTCCCAAATTTACCAAACACCACATATTCCGGAGACAAGTAAGGTAAGGTCCCACGAAATCCGTACTTGTTACTATCTGAAACCGTCTCGTCAGGCTCCTTA